CATCACAGTCTGCCTGAAAGAAACTCAGTCTCTCTGCCAGTTCTCCCGCCTCATGAACTTTCACACTCAAGGGTTCACTTATATCCTGTGCCCATCTTCGTGTCGGTCGGCCCCTGCCCCTCCTTCCTGGTACTATGCCTTCTGCTATAATTTTTTCCAATCCGCTGTGATTAAAAATAATAAGAAGAAGACTATTACCGGACCTTTGGAATTGGAACTCTGTGCACTTGCTGCTGAAGATGGGAACTGAGTGCTTTTGGGAGTGTACCAAGTGCTATGATGATGATTTCTAACTATAACACTCTCCCCCCCCCCCCCCCTCTCCCCAAATGTCTCAAAATTTATAATGAACTTATTTCCCTTTCTAATGACGTGACCAAAGAAGAATGTAAGTTGTCTCCTTCTGACACAGGTAATCAATTCTCTACGTGTGTCAATTTCTTTCATAATGTCTTCATTGTGAAGTTAAAATGAAGAAACAAATAAAAACAAGGAATGATGAAACTTAAATAAAAAAAAAAAATTAATCACCATATGCTTGGTGTAAACAAAACATCATAAAGGAGTTAAATAAAAAAAAATTAAAAAAACCAGCAGAATAATGTAAAATAAGATACATATAACGTCTTGTATATTGGCCACATACATTCAAAGCAAATACTAATACATGTACAATACATAAATAATAAATATACATACAATCAGTGGCCGAGTGGGTCAAAAATATAGATTCCAGCAGGGCTTTTTTTCTGGTGGTTCACAGTACCAGCACCTTTTTTAAAGGCATTTTTTCAGCACTGTTGCAATAGACCCTTTCTGACTTTCTGATGAGTACCTGTACACTTTTAAAGACATTTTATGGTGAGTACCGGCACCTTTTATCTAAAAGAAAAAAACAGCCTTGGTTACTAGGAAACAGAAGGGACCCTCCCACAACTATGAGGCAGAAGAACACAAAAGGGCTCGCTACAGCTGTAAACAGTATTAATAAAGGACCCACCACAGCAGCTAGTAAAAATGATTAGAACTTCCATGATATTTTCAAGGTACAAAATAATTATAAACAATTTGAATGTGTTGTCTAAAGTTTATAGAAGCCGGCTTTATCAGCAGCCCAAATGCCATTGGGCAATCTGACAACTGGGCCAGTTCACCACTGTATACAGTCATTTGTAAAATTAAATGCCCCATATACATACATCCCCCCCCCCCCCCAAGAGACAGATTAGGGTACTGAGCATTATAAATGTAGCCTCTAGCACACAACCTATAAATTAGATTTAAAGGGATGTTTGTTTGTTTCCAGTGTTTAAAATGTAATGTGAGAGTGCACAGACAGAAGTTGTGAGATAGAACATTGCCTTTCTTGTAAATTTAAGATTCTGTTTTGTTCTTCTTCTTCTTCGCGTTCACCAGCTGTAAACTCCGGTGGAAAGTTCTGGTTGTTTGTCCACTTCTGGACTGCAGTCCTGTCCAGAACAGAGTGTTACGTGTGCATCTATTTTACAGATCTGACTCATTTGCTTGCAGACTGCTGGTTCCTTGCCTCTCATGCAGAAGCACTCCCACTTTGAAGAAAGCTACCAATTAGTCAACTCTTACAACATGCTTTTGGGTAGGCAGTGGGTCTATTCTTGTTTTTCCTACAATAGGGCCCCGGAACCCATACAGGGAGTTCTGTTTTGAGTCATGCACCTCACAGATCACCGTTCAGCTTCAGCATGCACTTGTGTAAGGTTTACCTCATCTAGACCAGGACTTTTTCACTGGTGGCCCATGAGTCGAATCAAGCCTGCAGTGGCATAGCAAGTGGCCTATGTTAGTTGGTCATTGCCATTTGTATTGTATTCATGATCTTTCCTCGCTGGGGCTTAGGGGCTCTGGCCCGTGACGATCCCCATTTTCAACATTTTGTCCCCTGAGTAAACTTGGTTGAACAGCCCTGATCTAGAGTGACACTATCTTCTTACAGGGCACTGTCATAGTAAATATTGGGGAACTCTCCGCCCCCATATAATCTTCTTCTTCTGAATGTTCACCCGCTGTAAACTCCAGCAAAAAGTTCTGATTGTTTTCCCACTTTACATTTAAATCTTATGACACAGCTTTTATCCCCTTATAGTCCATGCCATGTAGCACTGGTAGTCATGTCTTCCCACAGCCTTATGTCTTGTGTAGTTTCAATCAGTTCTTGCACAGATTATTTTCCATAACATGTATTCAGACTGTCCAGCATCTTCTGTCTCAGTCTCCCTCTACTTCTTTCCCCTCCAACTATCCTACCATCATGATATACTAAAGTTTTCTTCTTCTCATGACATGACCAAAGAATGTAATTTATCTCCTTCTGATGTTGACAGTCAGTTCTTTCCTTAGGTTCTTGAATGATTTCTTCATTTCTCTTTTTGTCTTTTCAGATATATGTGACACAACACCAGCAAGAAAATTAAACATTTTGAGAACATGCATCTTTCCTTTGGCAACATACTGAGGTGAGCCGTGAGCCATTTTCACAATCAATTAAAAAAATTGTATAAACAAAAATTCTTATAATACCATAAACAAAATGCTAAAAAAATACTTTACATTTTACAAGACCTGAATATAGGTGAAAAGTAGCTCATAAATAGCACCATCTTTAGAAACTGGAGAACTTTCGCTATGTTAAATACCACAATGGTTTAGAAAGAACAGTAACAAAATGGTGAAAAATCTGAAAATCATGAGAGCACCATTTCTTCCTGAAAAAAACCTTAAAAAAAAACGTTTTCGAAATACTGTTAATATAAAAATGAGCACATTGGACATCAGATCACCGACTAAAAATGTATATAAGAGGAATGGTCCTTAAATTGGGAATAAAACCTGAAGGTTAGATTTCATTTTACTTGTTAAATGCTCCTAAAAAGACAGTCAGATAACAGATGGGCTTGTTAAATTACAATTCAATTTTAAAAAACTTAGACTAAAGCTTGGATACATAGGAAGAGACCTGTAATGTAAGCCAGAAATACAGTAATTTAGAGCACTACTTGCTGGCGTGTAGGAAATAGGGAAACCAAAGGAGAAACCTTAACTGACTACATGCAAAAACACACAAAAAAGTCAAGTAAAGAACCCTTTTCATGTCTTTAGGCCCATCAGGCATATGGAAACAGCACCCATATTTTTACAGACCAATCGGCACTAGGTGGATAATTTTTAGGCTAGGTCGACCTGTGACACCCTATACCATGATGAAAATCCATGCAGCCAGCAGTGGGTTTCGACCGCGGTATGCTTGCATTACGAGTTGGACTCGTGACGCCTAAGCCACGGAGGCTGCAACTGACTACATGAATCTCTGTAAATTCTTTTGGCGTTGGAAAACTTGTTGCACTTAGACAGCCCCAAGGACCTGCGTGGCAAAGGTCAAGCAGTTAATTATTAGGAGCAAATTCCATATTTGGAAGGGTAAAGAATGCCCATAACATCTTTAAACAAGTTTTCTCTTTTGATTTTTTTTTTTTTTTTAACGTATCCAGAAACCATGAGTTGTAAACCTTTTGCCTCGGTACTATGGATATCGCAACCCTTCGGCCTTGATTCCATTATAGGTACCATTAATCTGGGAGAAATGTGGCTTTTCTGCCTACCCCCGGGAGTGAACCCGGACCATAAGGAGTTCGTCACCCGGCCGCCGCGAAAGTCAGGTTTAACCAACTTCGCTATAGAGCCGGGCTTTCTGTATTGATAAAATGTAAGAGCATAATCAACTATTTCACTAAGGAAATAACAAATCCAACATGTTAATGACACAAAGTTGGTAAGATTGTCTAATTATTCATAGTATAGTTTCTATCATAATCACAACCCAGATGAAAGCAGTGTGTGAAACATTGCATATCGGTCACATAAATAATTATGTGATGTATAAATATAAAATATTGAATATATTTTCTGAGAAATTGGTTAACACTATCTATCCCAGTTATCACCCTGAGTGCTGAACAGGATATTTTTGAAAAAATTACTACTATTACTTTTTTTTTAAATGTCTTTAAAAAGAAGTACCTCACTGTAATTTTCTTATCTTTTGCCCTAAGAAACTAAAGGAAGAGAAATTTAGAGTCTTAGTCAGTCAGTTTTTAAAAAACATCTAGCTGGCTGAAACCTATGACCACCAAGGAGACAGGCAAGCCTGCTAGCTACTGCATCATTGTAGCGTCCAAGTCAATAAAACAATTGTAAATATAATCATACCCATCACATTTAAACACTGTGTAGTTGCAAGTGCCAGAGTTGTTATTTTGGCATACTGACCACTGCCCAAAGATGCCTGTCAAAGTCCTTTTGGGAAAAAAATTTAAATGTCGACCACTTTCAGACTGCTGCTAGCTAGCTGAGGCTGCTAACAGTCTGCGCCTATATTTGTGGTCTGGGTTATTTGCGTCACTTTCGTGACTAAATTCTAGTGTTTGCGCCATTTCTGGGCTTGATGCTTCTATCCGATTCAGACCGCTCGTCCTCCACCCTGTTGTTACTTGTGCATGTCCTCCCTCTTCTTACTTTGTTTGTCTCCCTTTGATTTGGCCAGGCGTATTTCGTAAGGGGGGGGGGGGGGGGGGGGGGCGCGCTTTTCCACACAACGTCCTTTGAACCACCATTTACAATTTTAAAATTTTGAGTATTTTATTTTTGCCAAAAAGTACTGAAAACAGTTTTTGATTTTGGATAGTTCCAAAATGTGAAAATATTCCGTGTGTGACCATAGTGGTCTTATAGTTGTCTTCCTGTAATAAGAACGGGTTAGTCTTGTTGTGGATATGTGTGTAAAATGTTGTGTGTAGCCTTAAAGCGGGTGTAATTGTCATTTGTTAGTGTGTGATCTGGTTGTGTCAGTTTGGGTTGGCAGCTAGACTCCGGTGTACATAAAAAGATACCTGTCATCAAAAACCCCTAAAGTAGAAAAACCAGCTTTCCTGGGGTAACTGTAAAAAAAAAAAAAAATTAACATTTACCTATTTTCTAGCGCTAAGCTTCACCCACAAGCCATCTTCTGCAATCAGCTGCAGTTTCTTGAGTTTGATTGGGTACACAGTTTTTTCACAAGTTACAGGAGTGAAATCTTTCAAGATGTATGAGAGAGCAATCTTCAGCTCCATGAGAGCCAGCCTCATACCAACACAGTTTCTGGGTCCATTGCCAAATGGGAGATAAGCATAGGGATGATGGGAATCTTTGTTCTCTGCACTGAATCTCTCAGGCTGGAATTTGTCAGGTTCAGTCCAGAATTCTGGGTCACGATGAAGGGCGTATACAGGAAATGCGACGACCATATTCTTAGGTATCTGGATTCCATGGACAGTTGTGTCTTCGGCACAGACTCTGTCAATGAAAAAGGCAGGAGGGTAGAGTCTCATGGTCTCATTGAGGCACATATCCATGTATGTGAGGCCCTGAATGTTGTCATAGTTGGGTGATTCATTTCCTATTTTTTCGTCCATCTCCTTCTGCACTATCTGGCAATACTCAGGGTGCACAGTGAGCAGAAACAGTGTAAATGACAGGACTGTAGAAATGGTGTCATAACCGGCCAGGATGAACACCAGTGCTTGTCCCTGGAGTGATATGAATTTTTCATTTTATAATGTATACATTTTACTGTGAGTCACATCCTGTGATGTTATGTCTTTCATAATTTTATATAACATGTTACAGTATATAGTTTGGGGCCGCGTTAGCGCAGTCGACAAGAGGCTCGCTTTCAAATCCTGCTGCGACTCTCTGCAGCCCACGGTCGGTGTTCGAAACCGGGCGGTTCCCGGGGTTTACCCAGCCTCTAAGAGATGGTTACCAGTGTTAATACTCTTTGGTAAATGAAGGAAAGTCGCTGTAGCTACAGAGTTACGTGTGAACAGCGACACAGGCGGACAATTCTTATCAGCAGTCTGTACTGGTGGCAGAGCACTTATGGTTTATAACTGTGTGCAGTGATGCTTGTTCACATCTCCCGACTTTACCTTTACCTTTAGTATATAGTTTATTCCTTCTTCTTTTTCTTCTTCTTCTTCTTCTCTTCTTCTTCTGCTGCTGCAGCATTAGCCTTTATTAGGGTGGTTGGCATGAGTTGTGGTTCAGAGGATGTTATATCTGCATGTTTCGGCCCAACACATTAGATTTAACTAAACCTCTAACTAGTCACCTTTTACAACATGCTTGTTAGTCGGCGTCTGTGGCTTAGGCATGAACACTCTTCGTAGTGCCGGGGTATCTAGTTTGATCCCAGTTGTGGACGATTTGTCTTGCGTTGGTTTTGACAGTGTTACCAAGAGATGACCATTCAGAAAGCAATGGCAAATTACTGAACATAAATTTTGCCTAGAAAAACCACAAGAGTCAACAATGCTGGAGTTGGTTCTGCGATGTCCTGTAAAGGATACACAACTAACTTGTTTTTTTGTTAGAGGAGCAGTGAGTCTGTTCTAGCTTTCCCCAGAATGAAGCCCTGGAATTCACATGGTTTGTATAGTTTGATATCTGTCTTCTAGTTTGCTATTATATAACACGGGTTAGCATTTCATTTCATAATTTGCTACTGAAATTTCATAGGGGTCGCTATTGTAAAAAGTTTGTGGTAAAAACAGTTTAACCCATTTTCCTTTTGCTCTGAAGATCGTGGGTTATTTCATGGTTTCCATCATGGGACTAATAAGTGTAGTTTTTTTTTTTTTTTAAACAGCACTGAAAAAAGTTTAACTTTGTAACCTACCATGTAGGTCAGAAGGGGCAACCAGGGAAGACTGGCGTGAAAACGGGCAACCAAGGAAAGCTGGCATGAAAATGGGCAACCAAGGAAAGCTGTTGTGAGAACGGGCAAACCCAAGCTGGTGTGAGAACGGGCAACCAAGGAAAGCTGGTGTGAGAACAGGCAACCCCAAGCTGGTGTGAGAACGGGCAACCCCAAGCTGGTGTGAGAACGGGCAACCAAGGAAAGCTGGCGTGAGAACGGGCAACCAAGGAAAGGTGGCGTGAGAACGGCCAACCAAGGAAAGCTGGTGTGAGAATGGGCAACCCTAATCTGGTAAAGACAAAGACTAAACTCTCATGAACTGATTCAGGATGCAGATGTACATCACCAGCTGTTGGTGCTGCATTAGGACCAGGGCTGAGACCGCACCTCTAAATGATCCCAAAAAACAAAGAGAGGTCATAGAAACAGGTTCCTAACTGGAGGCCTGTGCAGCATAGATAGGACCAAGGTTTCCTTCAGGTTAGACCACATCTGTCTGAAAGGAAAGCAACCAACAGTATGCTCACAGTAATTAGATCTGGAAAATCGATGTCTTACAATACTCAAATCCTGGATTAAGATCAAAGTCCAGACACAGGTGAACAACAGAGACTTTCTGCTGGAGTTTATTTCACAGCCAGTGAACTCTGGAATACAGAAATATAGAAAAGATGATGAAATAATAACTAGTACTTCTTATACTTCTAAGCATTCACTCACTGTAAATGCCAGCAGAAGGTTCTTGTTGTTCAATCACTTCTGGTTTTTGGTCTCGTTCTAGAACTTTAGTTTTTCATGCACATCTATTTGACAGATCTGGCATATCTTTATACAGACTGTTTATTCTTTGCTTCTCAGGCAGATGCACTCTGACTGTAAACACCCCTAATTAGTTGGCTTTTACAGCATGTTTGTTTGAGGGGGCAGTGGGTTTGTACCCCCCCCCCCCCCACACCCCTCTCCCCAAAATGGGGCCTCAAAACCCACACAGGGGAATAACCACTGTAACTGAGTAAACTTGTAAGATTTCATTTAAGAAACAGTAAACAATACAACAAATAACTTACATGGATTTCAGATCTGGTTAAGTAATACTTCTCAGTTTGCCCTGACTCTTCTTCAGAATTGATAAGAAGATCCAAAAAGTCGTTGACTTTTCCTGCTTGTCCTTCCTCTTTTCTGTTTTCAATTGCAGCATCAATTATTTTAGTAAAGTATTCCCTTGTAGCCTTTGGTATCGTACTCACCCCTGCCTTTTGAAGCAAAGTCAGTGACCATGGAGCGAAGAAGGCAAGGGAAAGCAAAAGGGGTGACAAATTGATTGACTGCTTGGCATGAACAGCAAATGGATTGTCAGGGTTTTCCATACTGCTGATCTCCACACCAAACCCAACACTGGCAATCACATCCAAAGTGAAACAGGAGATAATGTTCTTGAGTTCAATGTCATCATCATCATTACTTTCTTGCTTTCTGTGCAGTAAATCAACAAGCTGTTGCGATTTTCTTTCCATGTGTTTTGACATTCTTTTAATTTGACCTGAGGTGAATGTTCGACTCATTATTTTTCTCACATGTTTCCACTGATCATCCTTTAAGCTGACCAGCATTTCCTTAAAAGGAGGGTCAAGATCGAAAAATGAACGTCGATTGACGAAGCTGTTGAAGGATTTCACCATGATTTCTTTGATCATATCTGGATCTTTGATATTGAGAACAGGATGACAACCATCATAGGTTCCATATACCTGGGTATTTGAAAGACAAAAAGCTTTATGAAAGTGAATGGGAGTACCAATCAGCTTTAAGTTATTAGACACACAAACGACAAGTGAACGTTACGGCTAAATAGCTTTCATCAGCACATTACATGAATATGCAGTACCACACAAAAAAAAGTAAAGACTAAAGGACACTTTTTCATACTCTTAGGCATGAATGTTGAATGTTTAATTAGGAATTGACATCACAGCACTTGGGACGCTCCCATAAGTGATCAGTCCCCATCTTCAGCAGCAGGTGAAGAGTTCCAGTTCCTTTGGTACCAGTAACCGCCTGATTGTATATCCGTGTCACCCTTCCCCTGAGTGTTGAGTGTCAGCCAGATCCGCTAGTAACTACTTGCAGCACCATTCTCCTCAGACCGTGATGATCTATCTGTGCCTCCGCACTGTTCACTTGCTCCCAAGGGCCCTCACATTAACTAACTTGTCATACATCAGTTCACCACCAAGTGGTGCAGAACCAGCCAACCTATCTGCCTGCTCATTTCCCAACACACCGGCATGACCTGGAGAAAAATCCAAATGAAGCTAACTACTTGGGACCTCTGAAGTGATGCTTGCCACTCTGCAGGAAGCATGCCTGTTTTCCCCTTTCTCAATATGCTCTGTGAATCAATTACAGTCACGGCATGTGTGTACAGCTGATTTTCAAGCCAGCCACCTTCATTCTCAAACTAGACATTGTGATATCATATGCAAGGCTTTGCTGCATTCACCTTTGCTATGAAACCCTATGCACTTTGTCTGCATCTCAACACAGAGCCATCTGTATTGATAATCATCTCACTTGGGTGGGAATTGTCATGAATCATTTGTTGAACTTCTGATTCCAGCTGGCCAGTCTCTGCACTCATTACCTAACGTGACTAGAACCTACACAAGTCTGAAACTTGTTCAGACACATTGACCCACTCCTCTACTCGCTCAAAATTGTGAAGCCCTCACACATGTCCAATTGTGTCTTCAGCTTGCGCTATCCAAGACCTTCCTCTTTTCAGTCTGTGCCCTTAGCTGTAGCCAGGGCTTCATGCAGGAGGTGCTTTTTGTCCGCAGCTACTCTGAGATATGACTTTGCCTGCAGAACTTTGAGTCTATCTGCAATAGTAGGCAATGCAAGTATATATATCGCATACATACTACTGGGGTATCTCTTGATCATCCCAGAATTATCCGCATGGTTTCATTCTATATACGTTTGAGTTTTATCAGCTGACTCTTTTATATGGTAATCACTCCAAGTCCATAATACCCTTAGGCATATTGGGCATGTCGTGCTAGACCTATATTTATAGACTAACCGACATTCGATAGATGACGCGGTCAACATCACATTGGCTGCCATAATTTCCAGGATCTTACATGGTTCAGTAGCCAGAAAAGGCTAGATTATATATATATATATATATATATATAATATATATATATATATATATATTTTTTTTTTTTTAAACCAGTACAGCAGTGGCTTAGGGGTTGTGACTTCAATCTGTAATTCCATACTATCCTGTTTTATTTCACGGCTGGCGGTTTGGCAGCAGACCGCTATGATTTGATTTCAACAGATATGAAGCACTGACTCTTCAACAAACAATAGCATGCTACTGAATGTAAAATTACCTAGTGAAATTACAAAGAACCAATAAATACTGTATTTAGTTTTCACAATTATCCTGTAAAGAATAAACAACTAACTTTAGCAGCCTTTGGGTTCAGCCAAACCTCATACAAAATGTACATTTTATTATAAAAATTGGTAGCAGATAATTCAGAATTTTTGGAAGGAAAGGTGAGGATGAAGGGATCTTATCGCTTCCATTTTATATGTTGATAATTAGAAAAAGTGAAGGTATTCACTTCACAGCTTCACAGTAGCATCTGACATGGCACTGATTTTACTTTGAGAGGCTGTTCAGATCATTTCTGCAGTCTGTTTAGATTTTTCTGAAGGGACGGTGATTGGGCATTCTGTTTGGTTTTTGATGGCACAATTATTGGGTTACCTGATTGCAGTGAATTCAAAACTGTGACCAACGTCTAGCCAACATTCATATAAAAGAAATCTGAACTTGTAACTCATTCTCATTCTCTGGAACTTCTGAATGTCATTGATTTTGCTTTTATAAAATATGCCTTATTCCTTTCTGTTCTTTTATTCCCCACCAACCCCCACCCCCCGCCTTTTCCATTTGGAGACTGCAAGATTTCATGGGGAGTTCCGGGGAAAGTCAAATAGTATATGGCTGCTAGGCTGTGAAATGAACATGGACTAACACCAACCCTAACCACCTTCCACCCCCTTCCCTCTCCCCTTCCCCCTCTCCCCATAATATTGGACTTTGCTGGGAACTCCTATACAAATCTCAGAGGCCTGAATGGGGTGAAATAAAAGAAAAGAACCCATTATTCTTCTATATATTCACATTAGCAGGGCTCTAATCCAGCTTTTCGCCTGTTTATTGTCTGGATACCATTTCTGTTTCTTGACCTTAATGTCACATTTCCTCCACACTAACTATAACATACTTTCTAAAATAAAAAATATTAAGTAAAGTAAACAAAAACACTTTTCTAATAGGTGAATACAAGCCACCAAAATAAATAATCGGAATGTTTTGAGAGAGACTGAGACAGAAAGACTACTGATCACAAACAATTAAAAGACCAGTCTTCAGTTTTTTTTGCCATGTTTTAAGAAGAGAAAAACTAGAATATTGTTTGTTGTTATTGCAAGAAACCTTTATGGACAGAGGGATAGTGGAAAACAATTGGAGACATTTTTTGACAGCCTTTTGTCATAGCATTTAGTAGAGAAGTTTGTTTTAGTTTGCATTCTATACAACCTGTCTATGTTTTAATAACATAAAAATTGGACTGCTTTTTCTGCTGATATATGTATTTAAGAGAAGCTTGTTTTGGCTGTTTGAGGAATTCTAAGCATTGCTTTTAAAAACGATATACCTAGTGTTTTTGTGTATCTGTTTACTTGTTTACACATCAATCAGGAGACATTAAAACAAAGTTATGCTGTTTCCACAGTGGAGGTTCGAAGCAGTGTACCTAGTGTTAACTATGAGAATATTGTGTAGTCAGACACCACTAATGTTCACCACATACGAAAAGGTTAGTTGCGTATCCTTTACAGGACGTTGCAGAACCAACCCCAGCAGCCCCTGGCTGTTGCTGCTTTCTCTAGGCAAATTTATGTCCTGTAGTTTGCCATTGTCGGCTCTGTGGCTAAGTCGATGCGAACGCTTCGCTTTGTAATGCCGGGATGCCAGGTTCGATCCCAGCTGAGAGCAATGCGCCTTGCGTTGGTTTCGACAGTGGTATCAAGAAAGCGGACGGTCCAGAAGCAATGGCAAACTACTGGATGTAAATTGCCTAGAGAAACCACACAACAGCCAGGGGCTGTTAGGGTTGGTTCTGCAACGTCCTGTAAACGATACGCAACTAACTTTTTTTAGTTTGCCTTTGCTTTCTGATACAACTGTTGAAACCAACGCAAGGCGCATGGCGTTCACCACATACCTCGACCAAATTTGCAGATCAGCTAACATCAGCGATGGGGACAACATTAGAGAATTACTAAATGAATTGCTTTTTACCAATGACCAGACAATCATAGCATCAACACCAGTACAACTGAAAGAACATATTAATAGACTCCACTCAGAATGCAACAACTATGAAATGAAGATCAAGGTAGACAAAACAGAAGTGGTGAAATTCTTCAGAAAAGGAAGAATATCCAATATCAACACTGATGAACACCAGTTAAAGCAGGCAAAGCATTTAACATATCTGGAGAGCAGTTTTTTTTTCTGAAGACGGAAGATTTATTAAAGAAATTAAATAAAGCCAATCAAGTTTTAGGCTAAATGGCACCAATTTTAAAATGCAAGCATGTGAATATGAACACTCAAAGAACACTGTTCAACAATATATTCTTACCAACGCAATGCTAACACTGCCAGACATGGACACTGTCTTCATAAGACAAAATGAAAAGTCATGACAGAAATGAAATGTTTATATACTATGCTTGGTGTAATGAGGAAAGGTCGATTTAGGAATGATGACATCAGAAGGAGAGTTGGCACAGAACTAGCTCTTTTTGTAAGCATACATAGGCAAATTGCGTATCGGAAGGTCATGGGTTCGCTCCCTGACAGAGTGGGACTTTATTAAAAAATGACTTTGGGTCCCAGGTAGACCCAGCCTTGAGTGGGTACCGGGTGCAGTCCTGGGACCCATTTTGGGCCGTTCAGTCTATACAAATATAGGGCTAGCCCTATGTGCCCTATACGCCTAAGGTATGGAAAAGGGACCTTTACTTACTTTACTTTTACATAGGCAAGTGTTAAAAGTAAACACATATAATATATGGACACTGATTGCCAAAAAATGCAAACTACACACAAAAGCAAGGGGGAAAAAACAACATAATAATTTTTGTTACCTTCTTATCCTTGTACAGATTATATATCTCCAGCTGAGTTGTAAAGATACCCTTTTTCAGAGCGGCACCAAAATGTCCAAGGAGCCTGGATGCTGGCGGAGAGTCGATGTTCATCTTTTGGAAAGTATCATGAGATGCCGACACGGAGAACACAAACAGTATAGCCAGTATCACCAACAGCAGAACTAGCAGTAGAAAAATCCACACCATGATTGCTGGTAAATTGTCTTATGCACCTGTAGGAAGATTTTAGTGTGTGTGTGTGTGTATGTATATATATATATATATATATATATATATATATATATATATATATATATATATATATATATATATATATATATATATATATATATATATATATATATAAATATATTCATAAACACACACAATTGATGGATTTACTATCATTTGTGTACATTTAATTGAAATATCGGGAAAAGTTGCATAACCAACCACTCTGGAATGACTGTTAAGGCTAAAAATCAGGATAATTGCAAGTACAAATGCACTTAGTTTGAAAATAGCTTGATGCTCTGCCCCCCCCCCCCCCTCCCCCGAAAGGTCACACCCTCCTACCCCCTGTGAAATTGGTGGGGGCGCGCCCAGCAGCCTGAACGCAGACGGTTTAGAGTCAAACTCAGAGGCTTCTTCTTCTTTGTACACCAATTGTAAGCTCCGGTGGAAAGCCCTGGTTGTTTGCACATTTGGACTTTGGCTTTGTGCCAGGGTCTGCGTTTTGCGTGTACTTCCGTTTTCCTGGTTTATTTGTGTGTAGTTGGTTGTTCCTTACCGCACTGGCATATGCACCCCGACTTCGAATTGGTCGACTCTTACGACATGCTTGTTGGGTAAGCAGTAGGTATGTTTTTGTTTTTCATCACAGTGGGGCTCCTGAACCTACACAAAGAAAAAACTCGGAAGCAATTTTTAGTAATTTCTCTTTGACTACTGGTATAAAAACAAGTTCGAGGAAAGATAACTGTGTTTTTAATATCTAAATGCAGCACTTCTAAACTTGTCTCCCCCTGTCTCCAGCTTTCTTATCTTTGCATATTTGTCTTATTGTAAATATTTTTCATTTTTACGACGCTGCTCATTCTTGTCAAGAAATACAATGTCTGACCGTTTATCCTGGGTGGCAGATTAACAGGGTAAATCCAAGACACCCCATTCAAGATCCGGAAAAGTTATCATTAGAACACAACTAAGGGCTACACCAGTCAGGTTTAATGCCAGTCATGTGCGATTAAGGATATCTTCCCTTTATACACTACTGAATTATTGTACTGAGGTCTTACTTTGGATCTTTTCTCCAGGCTATGCCGGCGTGGTGGGTAATGAACAGGCAGACAGATTGGCTGGATCTGCACCACTGGGTTGTGAATTGATACATAACAAGGCAGATGTGATCAAAGTCCTTTGGGAACAAGCAACGGAATCAGTGGAAAAACAAGATTATTATGGCCCAGAGAGAATGAGGCACCTGGGTATAACCAGAGGGTCTGGCCGACTCACTACACTCAGAGGAAAAGGCAAGACAGACATATAACCAGATTGTGACCGATGCCATCAGCATTGGAACTCTGTGCTGGCTGCTGGAGATGAGGACGGAGCAAACAAAGGAAAGCCCCGAGTGCTGTGATATCAATTCTCAACTCAAGTCAGAGATATCGACCAAAAGCCGCAAATATTGCAGCCATGGTGGGCACAAAGCAATTACATCCTCGGATGAATACATCATTCCTAGAAATAAACAGAGAGGAAATACAGAAGAATAAGAAGAAGACATTGCAGTTCTTGCAGCCTGACTGTAGTCGTAGATTTAAACAGATTTTCACAATAAGACATTTGCTGAAAGTGATCTACAAATACAACGGAAATGTAGGATATCGTACATAAAAAAAAAAAAAAAAACAATGGACACAAATGTTTTTTGAATGTATTACAGCTTTTGATGGCGTAAAAGGTGGGAGGGTTGGGTGGAATACATTTAAAAAAGGGAGGGATGGGGGTGGGGGCTTAGTCATAGGATTTAAAGACGATTTTAATTGGGGGGGGGGGGGGAGAGGGGGTGCCCCCCAATCATTATCTGGTTACTGCCCTGGCCACGTGGTATCAAAGCCCTAGGTTTGAGGGACTCTGCCTTGAAGCGGCAAATGTAGTCAGTAAGGAGTTATAATATTGCCGAAAGTAGTGAATTGATCATGGAGACGAGAAAAAGCAGGGAAGGGGATAAGGAGGACACTAAACATATTAATCTGACTTTAAATTCTGGTGATTAAAAACGAATGTAATCTTACGATATACCTCTGCAAAAGACCACAGTGTTATCCCGATGCTCAGTCCCCACACAGCCTGAAGCTTTCAGATTCAGAACCACCACCACAGGCGTATTTTGATCTCCCTGGTTATCTATCTGTCACAATGAACTAGGAGTTCTAGACCTCAGAACGTGCTTGTCGTAGCAATTAGGTCACCTATTTGTGGCGAGAAAATCGATAGACACATAACAACGGTAGCCCAAAGTATTTACTGGCTGAGTGAATTTTTAAAACCAGTGGCTCTTAACCTTTCTAATGCCGCGACCCTTTGAATATGCGTTTTCCGATGTTCTTATGCGACCTCTGTAAAAGGTTCGTTCTACCCCCACCCCCGACTCAAAAAGGGTCGCGACCGGCATTTTGAGAACCGCTGGTTTGGGTGGAAAATGTGTGTAGTTTCTTTAGCATATTATAACCAGGTCTCTTTTTTTCGGTACTGACGACAACGAATCTAAACAAGGTGCCTATACTGGCCACAAAGAGTCCGGAAAAAGTGCCGGTACTTATCACAAAGTGTATATTACAGCAGTACTGAAAAAACAAATGATGCATTAAACAAAGTGACGGTACTGCAAAGACATGTAACAGAACTAACTATTCTACATTCAGGGAGCTTTCAGACTAGGAGTCAAACTTTCGTTTTCTACAGCAAGTACTGACTGACTGACTTTCTACCCCACCAGGACATCACACAAGCGATAAACACACGATGGCACAATGTGCCACCATGTGGATGAGAATCACCGTGGAGAGATCACAGAAGCCGCGTTCAGCCTTTAGGCCCCGTTTATGGCTAGGCTATGTTGCGGCCCCTGGCAAGAGCCAGAGTAGGGCTTTAAATAATGAAAAATTTCATCCTAAAAAGGACAGGAAATAATGTATATAAGCAAGTACCGATAATTCCCACCGACAAAGATCAGCACGTTACTTTGTAGTCATTGGGTACTTAATTAAAACTGTTTTACACGGTTGATCGGGCTGTGTGGAATCTAATATTTATTGGATTTGTTTTCGAACAGTGGCTCTTCTCTCACTGTGTATCAGGCTAGTGTCCCGAAAAGGGAGGGTCCATCCGTGCCGATCTAGATTTGGGTTTAGGTTTAAACAACAGATCAACATCATAGCACAAGGATAATACCTTGGGTTTAGGTTTAAACAACAGATCAACATCATAGCACAAGGGTAGTACCTTGGGTTTAGGTTTTACCAACAGATCAACATCATAGTACAGGGGTAGTACCTTGGGTTTAGGTTTTACCAACAGATCAACATCATAGCACAAGGGTAGTACCTTGGGTTTAGGTTTTACCAACAGATCAACATCATAGAACAAGGGTAGTAACTTGGGTTTAGGTTTTACCAACAAATCAACATCATAGCACAAGGGTAGTAACTTCGGTTTAGGTTTAAACAACAGATCAACATCACAGTACAGGGGTAGTAACTCATAAGTGCTCTGTTCTACTTCTAACTTAGAATTTGAGTCCGAAGTCTCTCAGCGCAGTGCACGAACTCCTTAGCACCGGCGAGGATCCTGAAATACGTTGGGTAGATTTTTAACTCTACATTTTGTCCGGGCAGCGTCGTTAGGCTAATCCTTTCGATTTCCAATTGCCAAGAGGTTTTTTTAATGTGTGCAACAATACACAGAGGCCAGGGGAAATTACTAGATGTAAAAAAAAAAAATCCAAGTTTTCACCGAGGCCTGAACCCGGGACCTTTGAGACCTTGCCTGCGGCTTTTCTTTTTCTTTTTCCCATGCCGATCTTTAACAGCCATCACAAAGTTCCAGTTCCGTTAGCACCAGTGGCAGTTTCATTACATATACTTTTCGTCTGTCCCCTGAGCGTTGAGTTGCCCTTAACGAGTGATCTTGTCAACATTAAGGTCGGCCACCTTTACTGTCAAGGGCACTTCAACGTACCCATTTTAGGCTAAGTGGACCTGGAGCCTTAGGTCAAGTTTTTTAAATGTATGACACTATAGATCCCAAGAGTTTGAAATCGATATTGTGGCTTTAATTTTATACCACCACATCTCCTCGGCGTCGAGATTTCGTAGGGAATTCCTAGGGGTTTTCCTAGACAGTAGCATAAGTAGTAATACGCCCTAATTTGGACGCGCATTTGTGGTACGGTGGTACAGTGGTACCGTGGAGGGAAGTCGGATGTGGAGGAAATTTGTAGGTGGAAGAAAGTTGGATGTGGAATTGGAGGGAAGTTGAAGTTGGAGGTGAAGATTATCCCCAAGATGGCGGTCAAGTGACCCAGCTGTTAACTGAGGTCAAGTAACCCCCCCCCCCCCCCCCCCCAAGGCGTCGGTTGTCTTAGCTATTATAAAAAAAAATTTTTAAGTAAAAAAAAAAAATTAAAAAAAAAATTAAGACAACCGACATTTCGGGGGGGGGGGGGGAGCTAGGTGGGGGGGGGGGGGAGCTGGTCACTTGACTTCAGTTACTCGCTGGCACTCCCTTTCTAGACACTCTGTGGTAAGTACCGACACCACCTTTCTAGACACTCTGTGGTGAGTACCGACACCACCTTTCTAGACACTCTGTGGTGAGTACCGACACCACCTTTCTAGACACTCTGTGGTGAGTACCGACACCACCTTTCTAGACACTCTGTGGTGAGTACCGACACCACCTTTCTAGACACTTTGTGGTGAGTACCGACAGCCTCCTTTCTAGACACTCTGTGGTAAGTACCGACACCACCTTTCTAGACACTCTGTGGTGAGTACCGACACCACCTTTCTAGACACTCTGTGGTGAGTACCGAAACCACCTTTCTAGACACTTTGTGGTGAGTACCGACAGCCTCCTTTCTAGACACTCTGTGGTGAGTACCTGCACCACCTTACTAGACACTCTGTGGTTAGTACCGA